GTTTTTCCCTTTTTGAAAGAGTTTTGCCCTTTTTAAAAGAGTTTTGCTCTCTTTTGAAAGAGTTTTGCCCTCTTTTTGAAATAGTTTTTCCCTCTTTTTGTGTTGCTCAGACCCCCAGATTTCCGTCACATTCCTCTTTCCGCTCTTCCTCTCTTTTGGTCTTTCCGGTTCCGGCTCCTCGGCCTCCGTTCGCATCCGATCTGACATCTGTAGCTGCACCTGTCTGACTCTCGGCGTCCAGCTTCTCAGGGAAAAAATCGGCTAAAGGGGATCTGCATTCCGGCTCAGCGAAATTAGAAATCCTTCGGTTACCAAATTCTGCAGCATTGTTTACATTAGTGACCCAAAAAAAACACGCACGCGTAGGGTTGATTTTTTTAGCGCGTTTTTTGTGCGTTTTCACGGCATCAAAGCAAAGAAAGGTGTGTGTTTATGAGTGTGTGTGTGTATGTGTGTGTGGAAGCCTGTTAGCGTTAGCATTAGCATTAGCGGTGGCGTTGGGACACTAACTGCTGTAGTGAGCTGTTGATGCTCCTCTGGGTGAGCAGCTATTGGGCTTCTCTCCTCCGTAGACCCACCGACCGACACTAGGAATAGCTTCATCTTTTATCCCAAAGGTTTCTCCGCGTGGCGTGGACTCTCTCTCACACCCGATGCCAAGAAGTCATCGTTGCCTTTGTTGACGTTTCTCTGCGCCCAGCCATATGTACAGTTACAGTTTTGCTCCTCACAGGACGAAATAAAACCAAACTTTTCCAAAAGCTTTTCCGTCGGCCTTTACGAGTTTTTAATCTGTGGTCAGACAGTTTGGCTGCCTTTGAGGAGCTCCTGATGGGTTGTGATTTGAAAGGTTTTTTAACTTTTTCTCTGAATCAGCAACCGGCCGACGCTCTTCTGCTTTATGTGAAATAAGTGTACAGCTTCTGACTTGGAGCAGGTATTAACCCTTCAAAGCCCGATCCAAGAAAATTGGAAGAATATTGGATTTTCTTTAGTCTGAAGTCTTTCTTTGGCCCCTCAACAACAGATGAAGAAAAAAAAAACTGAAATTATTTTGATCAAATTAGCGTGCAGTAAGTCAAAAATGTATTTTGGTGTAGTCTTCTACTGGCTGTTATCAGGTATATCTGAATGTGTACAACAGGGGTTTGAGCAAAGCTTTTACCACTGAATGATGCCAAAAGTCTCAGATCCAAAAGACTTCAGAAACCGTATGAATCAGATATGATACATTTGGCATTATAGGGCAAGAAAATCCTAATTGCTTTATGGCAATATAGACATTAATTTAAAAATAGTGAAATTAATCTTGCAAACACTGAATTAAACTCTATCCATAATATTATATTAAAATAGTAGATGTTAAATAGGTTTGTACAATAAGTCCAAACAAGTTTAACCCAAAAATATTTATTTTTCACAATTATGAAGGCTGGAGGGTTAGGGTTAGGACATTGTTTATCTTCCGATTTCGTATAGACAGTAAAGTTTGGTTTCCACCTCAGAAAGCTGCTAGTCACATGACCTAATCAAAATGGCCGACTTGGACGTGGGAGGAGTTGGATATCCAGCCGAGGCTCCTACAGACTTTTTTTTTCCATCTTTTTCCTCTTTACTCAGAAAAACGAGGCTAAAAGACAGAGGATGTTTTCCCAGATGAGAGATAGTTTTTCCCTCTTTGATCTCTTCCATTTCACTTATTCAGGCTCATCTTTACATCTCTGAGATTTCAGCAGGTTTCTTTAATTTGACCGTGTCAGTCGATGGGGGGATGAAAAACATCCTTTCTGTTGTTCGGAGGAAATGATGCACAGAATAATACCCCACAATCCCTCTCTGCTTCATCCTGAGAGAGCCTCTTATTAGATTTACATTAAACCTGTTCTCCGTTTTATTGACCACTGCTTTGCGGCTTTTGCAGGGAGATTAATTTTTAAACTAAGACGTCCGATATTCTCTGGATATTTACCCATCCGTTCCCCGTAAAACAACTTTATTTTAGTCATTAGCTGTTCAACAACATGCCTCTGGGGCTCCTTCTCACTGGATGAAGAGAAAGTTAAAGTACCTCCAGCAAAGCAGGCGTCATTTTGATCAATTCTCATGGAAAATAAATCAATTAAGGCATCTAGATTAAATCAGAAGCAACTTCCCATTTAGTAAATGAGACTAATTAACGACTAGTTTTTCCTCTAAATGCAGATTTAAGTAGCTACAGATGTCAGTTTTTGGGGCAAAGTCTAAATCTCGTAAAAGCTAAACGGGCTAAAGAGGAGCGAATCGAATAAACATCTGTATTTTCCAAAGATGTCAACGTTCCCAAGAATTCCCAACCTCAGATCTGCGTGGTGGGAAAACCTGATTAAGGGCCAAAAATTCATCACAGGTATGTGTTAGGAGGGGGGGGGGCTGTGAGTCATCACTGTAGATGAGAATGTCTGTTTGTTTGTTTTTTTCCCTCACTTTTTAACCCTGTAATGCCAAATGTTTCATATCTGATTCATACGGTTTCTGAAATGTTTTGCGTCTGACACCTTTTGCATAATTTAATGGTTAAAACTTTGCTCAAAATCCTATTTTTTCACAATCAGATACACCTGATAACAGACTAAAAAAAAGACTACACAAAAAATAATCTCGACTTATCGCAGTAATAAATTATTAATAATAAAAATGTATATTTGTTTTTTCTTTTTACACATTTTGCTAAAAGGCCAAATAAGGAATCAAACCAAAGAATAATATTTTTTCTGTTTAGTTTTATTCTTGGATCAGGCTTTAAAGGGTTAAATGCTGAGTTAGTGAACGGCCTATTTCAGGTCTGAGTGGGGCACTAAAGCTCAGCAGGCTCTGGATACACGGTTCATTATTCATTTTCCATGTTCTAGCCTTAGTACACACACTCACACACACACACACACACACACACACACACACACACACACACACACAAGAAGTAGAAGAGATGCTGTAAAGTGGGCCTCGTTCTCTGCCGGCCCTCAGAAGGGAGGCGGCAATTTGAGCTAGCAGAGCCGGAGTCAATAAATGAGCTCAAGAGAGGATTGAGATTGTGAGGCTGTGCCTGTCATAACGATAACGAGCTCATACATATTAACAGCCCGAGCTTTTCAAACGGAAACCAGCCAATACTCTCAAGCAGCATCCTATTTCCTGATTTATGTATTTTTTTTAAATCTACATATAAATCTTCCATGGAAGCAGGAACTATAGAAAGTTGCTCCAGCTGAACTTTCTGTTTTATCTAATCAAGTTACTGAAACCAGTGGGGACATTAGTGTCTTTTTAAGGGGAACATTTGGTCAATTTGCTGACTCGAGTTCTCATGAAGCAATTTTTCTGTCGCAATTCAAAATATTTCCCCAATTTATCTTAAAGAAATCAAACAGGTAATGCAATTCAAAAAGGATTTTTAGGGTTATGTCTGTGATTTGACTTTTTTCCACCAAAAAATACAGAAATAAGAAAAATTAATAAAATAAAATAAATTAATAAATTAAAAAATGAATAAAAAATGTAATGAATACTCATGAAATTGCCTAAATTATATTTATTTTCACTTTTATTTTATTTAATCTAATTTGATGTGTTTTATCGTAATGGTGTTTATTTTTATTGACATTTCTGCGTGACGGCGTAAGCGGGTGCTGTTACCCATAATGCACTGCGAAATTTGCTGTAAAGCAAAACCAGCATCCCATTTCCTGATTTATGTATTTTTTTCTAATCTACATATAAATCTTCCATGGAAGCAGGAACTATAGAAAGTTGCTCCAGCTGAACTTTCTTCTTCATCTAATCAAGTTACTGAAACCATTGGGGACATTAGTGTCTTTTTAACGGGAATATTTGGTAAAACCAGGTGAATGGGGAAAAAGCTGCAGGAATTAAATTAAACAGCCCCGGTTGAGAGATGTCACCAGAACGGTGAATATCTGAGACATGAGAACTGATATCTTTATTAATCAGACTGTTATGGGAACCAAAGGAGCACCTGGGTGTTCAGGCATGAGTTTGGATGCTAACCATTCGCCTCCAGGGGGAAAAACCTGGAGCATATCCAACCCAAAGCAACCCTCGGGGGGGGATCACAGCTCCCAGTGGTCTCAAATAGTTCTGCTGTCCATATTTTCCTCAAAAAGAGGAAGGAATGGCTCCATAGACTGTAGCCTCCAGTATCAACTGTGGACCTGAGATCGCTGAGCTGGATAAAGAGATGTTTGCCAATAGTTTGATGTAGAAATATTCCTATGTGGGGCAGCCGCTTGCCCCCTGGCTGTGGAGGCTCTGGGAAGCAGGAGATGAAAGATCTCATATAAAATCTTGGATGAGAGCATGTCGTGATGTCAATCAAGCAAATTAAGCCGTAAAGGCAAAAGGCGTTGCAGCATTTTAAACTTGCATGAGCACGTCGGCCCGAAAATATTTCTGAATTCATGTGAACTAAACAAGAGGACTCGAGTTCTTATGAAGCAATTTTCCTGTCGCAATTCAAAATATTTCCACAATTTATCTTAAAGAAATCAAACAGGTAATGCAATTAAAAAAGGATTTTTAGGGTTAGGTCTATGATTTGACTTTTTTCCACAAAAAATAAAGAAAAAAGAAAAATAAATGTAAACAAATAAATAAATACATTTTTTTAAAGAATTAAAAAATTAATAAAAAATGTCATGAATACTCATGAAATTGCTTAAATTATATCTATTTTCACTAATATTTTATTTAATCTAATTAGATGTGTTTTATAGTAATGTTATTTATTTGTATTGACATTTCTACGTGACGGCGTAAGCGGGTGCTGTTACCCATAATGCACTGCGAAAGAGCCACGTAAACGTGAGCTCCATCACGTCGCTGCTAGCTGCTAGCTGCCTCTGCACACCGGGCAGTTTCAGAGCTTTACATCTAAGATGTCAGCATAATGCAACTCACTATTACAAGGTATCATCCTACCAGATATATTTAAGTCAGCTTGTGTACAGTATTAGTTAGATTTAGGATTTCCCCCCTTAGTTTTTGCTTCAATGTGTCGGAATGCTAAGCAACTGGCTGCTAGCTCTTTGCTAACATTAGCAAAGTGAACGGGCTAACGTTAGCCGCTAACGATGGCCATCCGGATAAACTGGTCTCTGTGGTTTGAAGCTATTGTTGTCATATTTTGCTACGGTGTTGGTGGATTTTTTACAGCTTAACGGACCGTCTCTCACGGTTGCGCGTGACTTTCCGGTGGTCTACACTTTTTTTTTCTGACAAACACCTGGTCCGTTCTCACACCTCAGAAGTTGCTAGCTGGTCCATATGAGCATCTCTAAGTTTAGGCTTGCGGTTTAAAGCGAGTTTGTTTTGTTTTTTCTTGACTTTAAGGTGATGTTAAACCCTCGGGCTGGTGTTTTAGTTTTTTTCCGTGGTTTCATCCCGGAAGCAGACGTTGGAAACCGTTGGTAATTCATGTGGAGGAGCTCTCCATGGTTCTGACACAAATCAGTTCAGTTCAGTAGCTTTTATTTGTCCCAGTTTGGGCAATTTTTGTATAGTAGTAGTAGTACCATTTCACACACACATTCACACTCCACACATGAAACACAAGAAACACATAAAATATTTTTAAAAGATAAAAGTAAGATGGATAAATTGAATAAATATGTGCAATGAAGGCCTATATGCATGCAACCTATGACTATCTGCTTTTCTTAGTAGAGTTTAGCAGCTGAACAGCAGAGGGAATAAAGCAGTGTTTGTGTCTATTGGTCTGAGCTGGTGGATATTTATAACGGGAACCAGAGGGTAGAAACTGGAATTCGTTGGGTGTAATTATCCAAGATGGACTCAGCCTTCCTAATTACCTGCTTTTTATACATTTCAGTCATGCTTTTATGTTGTTTTTCTGTTGGAAAACATGACCGAAACATCCGGCATGGCATAATCTGATAGAGGCTTTTATTGGTTTCACTCTTGTTTAATTGTTATTTTATTACAATAGGAGGACCACCATCAGGTACAGATGATGGAAGTCTTATTTAAGTTAAGCTGACCAACGTCTGAAAGTGTTAAAGTAAACAAAGTAATTATTAAATGATCTTGCAAAAACATATAGCTCATTATAGATTAACAAAACAACATTTTTACTTTGCTTTGAATGCAGAAATGAACCTTGAGCGAGAAGGCACTGGCGGAAAATTTAATTGCAGACGAAAAGGGGAAAAAACAGCTCTTTTGCCACTTTGTCATCAGGTTATTCCGAAACAAAGCAAACATAAAGGAGCTCCTTCTGAAAAGCAGCCCACCTCACACTCTATAACACAAATTTCTTAGAGTGACACCAAGATGCAACAATATGTAGATGCTACAGAGCTAGCATCTGCTAGCTAGCATCTGCTAGCAGAAGATCAGAGGATCCTGTTTCTATTTAAACCTGTTTTTAAACCAGAGTTGAGCTTCTTTCTCCCCCCTGACTTCATTCTCCAGGCGCCCGCTGAGAAAGGCCCGGCTGTGAGATGTCCGCGGTGTTGTTTGCGTCGGTGGTCCGCGTCGGGGACGGCCTTCCTCTCTCCGCCTCCACCGACTACGAGCAGGACAAAGAGATCCTGGAGACCAAGAAGCAGCTCAAAGGGCTCTCCAAGAAGCTGGGCCAGTTCCCCGACCGCTGCACGCTCAAGTCCGGGCCCTACAACGTCAAGTAGGTCCGACTCTGGGCTGGTCTGGGCTAAAAATGGCCCTCATGGGGGAGTCAGGGGGGGCACTTAATAAAAAAAATAAAAACAAAGGTTACTACTTCACGGGTTCTTTTTGGAACGAAAAACAAGGGTTCACTGTAATGATGTTTGCTTTTGTGTTTGTGTGCGCCTCTGTGTGTGTGTGTGTGTGTGTGTGTGTGTTTGTCTGTGCCTCTGTGTGTGTGTGTGTGTGTGTTTGTCTGTGCCTCTGTGTGTGTGTGTGTGTGTGTTTGTCTGTGACTCTGTGTGTGTGTGTCTGTTCCTCTGTATCTGTTTGTGTGCCTGTGTGTGTGTGTGTCTGTGTTTGTGCGTCTGTGTGTGTGTGTGTCTTTGTGTGTGTGTGTGTGTGTGTGCGCTTCTGTGTGTGTCTGTGTGTGTGTCTGTGCCTCTGCCTGCGTGTGTGTGTGTCTGTGTGTGTGTCTGTGCCTCTGTGTGTGTGTGTGTGTCTGTGTGTGTGTCTGTGCCTCTGCCTGCGTGTGTGTGTGCCTCTGTGTAAATGTGTGTGTTTGTGCATGTGCTTTTTTGTGTGTGTGTGTATATGTGTGTGAATGTGCCTCTGTGTATATGTGTGTGTGTGTTTGTGGCTTTGTGTACGTGTGTACACGTGTGCCTCTGTGTATATATGTGTGTGTCTGTGTGTGTATGTGTGCCTCTGTATCTGTGTGTCCATCTGTGTGTGTTCATCTGTGTGCATGTCTGTGCCTCTGTGTGTGTGCGTTATGCATATGTGTGTGTTTATGCATACGTGTGTGTGTGTGTTTATGTGTGTGTGTCTGTGTGTGTGTGTTTATGCATATGTGTGTGTGTGTGTGTTTGTTTATGCATATGTGTGTGTGTTTCCCAGCTTCACCAGTGCTCTGGGTGTGGGGTACCTGATGGTTTGCACCTCCAGCTACCCCAGCGTTTTGGCCTTCTGCTTCCTGGACGAGCTGCAGAAGGAGTTCATCGTTTCCTACGACCCCAAACGCATCGCCGCCGCCGTGCGCCCGTACTCCTTCATCGAGTTCGGTAAACTTCAGCCCTTTTGATTTTCTACACCCCAAATGATCGGAAACCTCCAGATCCAGTTTTTCCACAACCCAATCAAGTCATAATCACTCAAACTTTTAAAGAAAAATTCCATCTAAGCCTAAATATCATCACAGTTATCGGTCATTAAACATAACTGGAGCTGTATGGGTCAGAGAAGGCTACATATGCTAACAAACCCCTCCAGCTAGCACACACTGAGCTCAACTTAAATAGTCCTAAATGCCCCTTTACGAGTGGTTTTTGCTTTTTTTTTTTGTGATTCTCTGTTTTTTATTTAAGAACAAATTCCCAAAACAAAGTATTATTTAAAAGTTTTTGGGGGGGATAAATGAGACAGTTTCGACTAAAAAAGTTCCTCATGTAATTTCACACTAAGTCTGAATCTGCACACAACCATTAAGTCGCCTCTCAACCAGAGTTTTTAACTCGTTTTCTCTCTCAATTTACAGTTATGTGACAATCAAAATAATAATAATACATGTAGATTTTTCCCCAAAACTATTGAAAGAACGTCCTTCAGATCGGCCGCCAATATTTTCGAAAAAAAATGCAGGAGAAAATGCAGATCCAGCCCCCCAGACCCAGTTTTTTTTTTAAAGTCTGATCCTACGTTAGCATTAGCATTAGCATCTGTAACCCACAGGTCTGTGTCCTAACCATTAAGTTGTTATCAGAGTAAATCCCTGTTCAACATGAGTCTGACAACTAAGTAAGTAGATAAATAACTTTAACAACATGAGTCTAGAACGTTTGTTTTGGATAAATCAGACAGTTTTGACCTAAAACTAACAAAAATTTTCAACTAATTTCACACTAAGTCACCTCTCAACCAGAGTTTTTAAGTTGTTTTGTCATATAATTTACAGTTATGTGTCAATGAAAATTATAATAATACATGTAGATTTTTCCTTAAACTATTGAAAGAACGTCCTTCAGATCGGCCGCTGATATTTGCCAAAAAGTCCAATCCCACATTAGCATTAGCATTAGCATCTGTAACCCACAGGTCTGTGTCCTAACCATTAAGTTGTTATCAGAGTAAATCCCTGTTCAACATGAGTCTGACAACTAAGGAAGTAGATAAATAACTTTAAACTTTAACACATGCTCTGATAGGCCGGGATCGGGACATCCCTAATATCTGATTTATCCAAAACAAATTCCTATTAAAAATTTTTGGGGGATAAATCAGACAGTTTTGACCTAAAACTACTAAAAAAGTTCAATATCTATTTTCACACTAAATCTGAATCTGCACACAACCATTAAGTCTCCTCTCAACCAGAGTTTTTAAGTCGTTTTCTCTCTCAATTTACACTTATGTGACAACTAAATTAACAATAATACATGTAGATTTTTTTTAATCCAATCCCACACGAGCA